AGACCGCGTCCTCCGCCGCGCCAGAGGGCGCTGTGGGAGCCTGCCCTGCGCTGCCCTCCCCTCGGCGGCCGCTCCTCCCCGCCGGCGCGGCCCATGCGCGGCGGCCTCGGCGCGGCCGTTCCGGTTCCGGCSGTTGCGGCGGCCGTTGCGGCGCCATGGACCGGGAGCTGCTGCGGCAGGCGCTGAGCTACCACGGCCCCGCGCTGCTGGCGCTGCTGCGCGCCGAGCAGCACGACAACCCCGACTTCCGCGGGCTGCTGCCGCCGCCCGGCGTGGCGCTGGAGCCGCCCCGCGGCGCCCCGCACTCGCCGCCCGCCTGGTGAGGGGCCGCGGGGCCGCGGCGGCGGGGCGCACCGAGTGTGAGTACGGGGGCCGCGGCGGCCGGGAGCACCGAGTGTGGGCACGGGGACCCCAAGTGTGGGGACAGGGGCCGCGGCGGCGGGGCGCACCGAGTGTGAGTACGGGGGCCGCGGCGGCCGGGAGCACCGAGTGTGGGCACGGGGACCCCAAGTGTGGGGACAGGGGCCGCGGCGGCGGGGCGCACCGAGTGTGAGTACGGGGGCCGCGGCGGCCGGGAGCACCGAGTGTGGGCACGGGGACCCCAAGTGTGGGGACAGGGGCCGCGGCGGCGGGGCGCGCGCGGCGCTTCGGGGCGGCGGGCGCGGCGCCGCGGCCGCTCTGACCCTCCCTCTTCCCCAAGGAAGGAGAGGCCGAGCACCGAGGCCGAGATCCAGCGCTTCATCGCCAGGAAGGCCGATCTGCTCTTTGCCCAGTCGTGGCAAACCAACGGGCCCATGTCCGACATCCTCGAGGAGAATGAAGGTAGAGGCGCTCGCAGCGAGCGCTGCCTGCGTGGATGGGTGCCGGGCAGCTGAGGGTGCAGGCACCGGGGTGGTTACAGACAGGGCTGCTGACGTGTTGGTGCCTCGTGTCTTGCAGAGTACTGCGCCGTTATGCCGCCCCTGGAGCGGTTCATGGACGTGCCCAGCGAGCAGAGGCGGGAGCTCTTCTTTCGAGACATCGAACGTGGCGATATTGTGATCGGGAGGATCACTTCAATCCGTGAATTTGGCTTTTTCATGGTGCTGATTTGCCTGGGAAGCGGTATCATTCGGGAGATCTCGGATATAGAAATCACTGTAAGCTGGCTGTGATTAACAGTATCTTGCGTAGAGCAGGAGTGTTTTTCTTCAATCATTGGCTGCATCWTGCATCTTTTAATGGAATGGCAGGGATAAAAGTAGAACTGAGCTCTGTGGCAGACTTGATTTGACAACATGGTGCCCTGCTGAGGCAGCAGCACTTCCACTGTTGTTCTTCCCCTTCCTCTCCTCAAAATGTATTAACTGTGCATGGAAAAGTTCATCTATGTATGGATGTGTCAACTTTAATTTGAACCAAGCCATGCAAGTTTTATTGTGTTTTAATTACTTGATTTTGGTTGTACACCACGATTCAATAGATATTCATCTGTTTTCTTCTTGGAAGAAGAAAAATACTCTCGATTTTATTTAAATTCTTTAGACCCTAAAGACTGATAGAAATTGGTCTAGGTGTTGATAATGCCTATCTTACTGTGGTAGGAAAACTGCTTCTATATTTAAAAATTTGTATATGGATGCATGCTAAGATGACTTTGCATGTTAAAGGTTGTTGTGCAGATGAATCCTGAGTGGAAAGCGAAAAGAGGACAAGTTTTATCATGCAGCTTATTTGGTTTTATAACTACTCGTGGTTTTTATTGTAATCTTTTTTCCAGGCTCTTTGTCCGTTGAGAGATGTGCCTTCTCAAAGCAACCATGGAGATCCTTTATCATATTATCAGACTGGAGACCTTATTAAAGGTAAGCAGCCCCAGAAGTTGTTTCAGGAATATATCTGTTTCATTTTGGAGACAATTCCTCTATTTGGTCTTATTTTTCACTGCTTYCATAGCTGCAGTCAAGGATGTTGATCGTTACCATCAGAAGCTCACGATCTCGCTTTACAGCTCGGTTCTTCCGCCCAGTCTCTGTAGTACAAAACTCGGAGTAATTACCTCTGATGATTTTCCATTACATTACAAGTAAGAATTTATTGTTCAGCTGTACTTAGTGTGTTTGTTGTGTCTGAACAGTGTCTTTGACAGACTGTCCTTTAAATTTGCTAGGGTTACATGTGATGTAGTTAGATAGTAATATACCATGTTCATCTTCATCTCTTTAGCATATGTGTTTCTGGATATGTTTGAAGTTGTGTTTTTTTCTTTTTTTTTTTAAGAATCTTTCCCAAAACGTAGCAGTAGCAAAAAAACAGAGTGAGGTTGTGTTCTCTAAATCAGAATTTGAGATATATGGATGTGTTAAGTTCTTAAAATGACTGTTAACACCTGGTGGGTTTTTCTGCAGTTTCATAATGCGTCATTGTAGGGTGAAAGGTTTGCTAAATAGTGAGAAAACTGACCTTGTGAAAGGGAACAAGATGATACCATGACATGATGTGCTTGCTTACTAGTGATAAGTGTCATTACACTCATGCTTGCTCTGAAAGAAGCATCAGAAGCAACAGAAGCATAAAATTGGGTGTACAGCAGGAAATGAGGTTGTGTTTGTAAGCATTGGTGCTTTCTTTAAGGCGAAGCATGGAAGTTGCCAATTCATTAGAGACATATGAAGAGGTTTTGCATCGTTCTCCAGGATTTGCTAATCCATCAGTGATTGAATATTTAGCAGAAAAACTAGGATTAAGTGAATCAAACCCACCATCTTTGATGAGAGGTCTTCAAATGTAAGTGAGTTTTTATACTGATCCTATAGCTTTGAGGAAGTTAGTCTGATGTATTGACATAGACTTGTGATTGGAAGTTTATGTTCAAAAACTTCGTAGATATCTGATTCTTAAAACTTAATTCATTGCATGACTGTAGCCTTYCATGTTCGTAAATGTTTGAAGTTTAACCATTCTAGAGTAAGAAATGTAATGTGAATTTCTTTTGTTTTATAAAAAGGAGATGATTTTTGCAACAACCTGGATTTGATACTGATTACTTCAGGAAACTGTTATGTAGATMTTGTTAACATCTTTGGATTGAAATGTGAGCTGTTTAGACTCTAATGAATTTTATGGCATATGTTTATTCAAAATGTTTATTAATAGATCTGAGGTTTTAGTGAATATAGCTTCAAAAATCTGTTGCTATTGATATTATGAGCCCTCAAATGTTATGCCCCCAAGCACATGCAACTATGATTAAATGTGATACAGCTGTATCAATTCAATTCAGAACTGTGGAATGGGTTGGGAAAGTTCCTTTTGGAAATGTAAAAGTATATGCCCAGATGGAGAACAAGAATGCATTGYATAAATACATCTTTTAAGACTGATTTTATAGATTATGGGGACAACTTGACTTTTTGTTCATTTGTGCTTTTTAAAGGAAAAATTTCAATGAAGAAGATTTTGCACCTGCATTGAGGAAAAGGCAGTCTGAATCTTGGGCCTTAAAATGGTATGTTAAACTTAATTTTCTTGCCAGTGCTTATTCTAAGATTATTTTACGGATTATATTTCTTAAAAGAAAATATATTCTGAGGCATTTTTCCCTAGTACATACATACTCTGGATGTAGCCTGGAAGACCTGCTTGAAAGTAGCCCTGTGCTGTAAATGAAGAGTGTTGTGTGGTAGTAGTGTCTGAGGAAGTGCTCTCAGGTGCCTCACGCCTTCAGATTGTGTTGCTGTGCAGTGATATGCACATGACATTGATATAACAAGCTCAGCTTAAGGTTTCCAAATTAGTAATGGTATGCAGTCTGCCTGGACTAACTGTATGTAACGCTTTCTAAATGTTTTTCTCCAGTGTGAAGACTGGAGTTGATTATTTTAAGGATGGGCGCCATGTGGAAGCCATGAATGAGTACAACAAGGCCCTGGAAATAGACACAGGGAATGTGGAAGCTTTGGTAGCCCGTGGGGCTTTGTAAGTATCCTCATTTCCTTGTTTGTGTTTTTGTTTCGTGAAAGAGAAACTTTGTTCAACTTTGTAACTCTTCCCTTCTTGTAGGTATGCAACAAAAGGAAGTCTAAACAAAGCCATAGATGATTTTGAGATTGCATTAGAAAACTGTCCCACCCACAGAAATGCAAGAAAATACCTCTGTCAGACTCTTGTGGAGAGGGGYGGCCAGTAAGTTTTAAACTGTATTTTTAATGATTTTTTCCAGTATTTTGCCTATATAGCGCTTGTTAGGGGACAGCACCTTTCCTTCTTGGTTTTTGGTAGAAAATGAAGTCTGCTTTGGAAATAAAACTGCTTGTGGAGGTGGCTTACATTTCCTCCTGTGTCCCAATTAAAATGCTTACAAAACATTTAATCCTTGCGGTTTATTTCACCGATAGGATATCAGGCTTATGCACAGTTTATGAAACATTTGAAAATATTAAAGGAGATTATTTTTAGAAAGTAACTAAGTTGTATTGTTATTTTTCTGAAATTTTTGATAATTACTGTAAAAAAAACTTTCAAACTAATATTCAGGGAGCAGATTTCTTTTGAGAGATGTGTTGAGAGACATTTTTTTTTAAATGAGCTGAAATCTAAACATGCTTGCTGATGATTATGAGAAAATAATTTGTTGGGAATATTGTTTTATTTCTTTACTGAGGTATATTAAGATGATAAAATTGATATTGGAGAGAGCAAGAAAGAAAAGAAAAATTCTGTGGCTTACATGTGTATAAAACTTGCAATTTTAATATTAGGTTGGAAGAGGAAGACAAACTAGTAAATGCTGAGAGTTACTATAAAAAAGCCTTAAGTCTGGATGAGACTTTCCAGGAAGCAGAAGAGGCCTTAGCAAAGCTCCGTAAGCACATGCAGGTGATTCTTTACTTTCTCTTCATTTAATTCTTTCCTTAATGAAAGTGAACTATACTCTCTGTATGGCAATATAAAGAAAGAAGTCTGACTGCTTTAGAAGGAAGTCTCTAAATACTGGTTCAAATGAATATTCTCAGCAAGTGGGAGATAAGTTACTGTCGYTTAGTGTTATTCTGGCATAGTGGCCATTGTTGCGCTGCTAAGAAATATGATCAGTTGAACTATTGTTTGTTGGTTTGCATAGCCTTATGGCTGAAACATAATTGGAAGTGTTTTCCTGTAATACTGATTATGTGTTTTTCTCCCATACATTTTCTTCCGAATTGGACCGTTGTTGCTGTATCTGACATCCGGTGCTGCTCATCGCCAACAAACTTCTGGAACATGATTTCTTGTGTAAACTATGCATCAAACTGGTCTGTGAAATTAATACAAAATGGTTTGTATTCAAATGTGGCCAATTTGACTACACTTCAAAATGGGTTTCAACATACTTTATTTGCACACTACAATAATGACATTTTCCCTCCCTGAAACCCTTTCCGCTTTTTCTCTCCCCCCAACTTTTATTTATTTATTTGTTTTCCCCTTCTCATATTGCTCACATTGCTTTTCTTGCATTTGCTATCTCTACCTTTTGGGCTGCGTGCTTTGTGGTCTGCTGGATCACGGGTACCACTGCAATGGCTGGTCAAACCTTTTAAYGGGATAAAAACTGCAATATGGTCCTTAATGTGAACCTGATTATCACAACGGCCAATGCCAAACTCCTGAATAATATTAATTCTTGATCTGGGAATCCTGGTAAAATATCTTTGGTGTAACTATACATTTGAATGGGGTTGGGGACTCGGGGAAAATACCGGTGTAATGCTTTTACTTTTAATGTGACTTTTTTTTCTGTATTTGGGTTCAAAAAAGAAATCTTTGGAAATGAGGGAGAAGCAAGCTGCAAAAGAAGAGAGAGAGAAAGAAAAAAAAGTAGAAACAAGTGCAGAAAAATTGCGTAAGCTCTTAAAAGAAGAGAAAAGGTAACCTTGTAATATTCAGTGTTCTGATTCTTAAGCCTATTGTGCCAGAGCCAGAATATTTTTAATAAGGAGAAAGGAGGGGAAAAAAAAAAAAAAAAAAACCAAACCCTCAAACCCATCCCAAACCAGTAAGTATAAAAACTGTTATTTCAAGATAAAGGACCCATTGCAAATGCTGGAATTTTCTAATAAATGAAATTCTAATTTCTAATATTTCTAATAAATGAAAGCACAGATTAAATRGGAGTTATAAAACAGCCAAAGTATGATGCTCAAGGCACCACCATTTAATGAGTGTCTGCTGGCTTTTTTGGCCCAGTTGTTTTTACCTGCATTGGTGACATGAATAAGCTCTACTATCAGGAATTCACTGAATTCTGTCACTACATCTGAAATCATAATTATATTGTCTTCCCCAAAACCATGGAACTAATCCTATGGATGCAAAGAAGAAATGACAGTAAGTACAGATAAGACCATGAACACATCATTGTTGAACAGATTGTCTAAGAGTAAGCAAAATAGAAATGTAAATTTCTTCTCCAGCATTTTTCTGGGCAGTGTTCTTTAAGGTATATGGCCTCTACTAGAAAAATATGTGGAAGAGAAATTGACTACAAATATTTACAAAATGCAATGGGATATAAACTGGGAAATATGACTTTTATAATAGAAGTGTTCTGTGGATTTAGTATGAATTTTCTTATATAAACGGTACTTGAAATTATGTCTTGCCAGGTCAAACTCAGTTTGTTTGCAAGTCCAGTTGCAGCCAGACTCTGGAGAAGGCTGGTCTACTTTTGCCTTAAATGTATAATCTTTCCTGGATGCTGAAGATTATTTAATAGGTTAATTATATTTTTAGGTTGAAGAAGAAAAGGAAAAGATCAACTTCCTCCTCCTCTTCCTCTTCGTCCTCTTCCTCATCCTCTTCCTCCTCATCTTCAAGTGACTCTTCATCAGATGCATCATCATCTTCGTCCTCGTCGTCCTCTTCCGGTCACAAAAAACGCAAGAAAAAGCATCGAAATAAATCCGAGTCTTCCCGCAGCTCCAAAAAGCACTCATCTAGATCTTCACATTATAAAGATCAGGTTAGGAAAGATGAGTGGTATTCGCCTCCAGCTGATACCTCTGCTTCCTTTCTTAACCAAAGGTTTGAAGTGGAAAAACTGCTGGAAAGGCAGGACAGCTTAGTGTATCCAAAAACAGAGGTAAGAGAGAGAGAAAGACACTGTTCTCTATCGAGGACTTCAGCTGAGGATGAAGACACTTTTGGAGGTAGGTCTGAAGATTCAAGAGATTACTATAGTAGCTCCAGAACTCAGGCAAGTACTAGCAAATATGAAAAATATGATAAACCAGACAGATTTTTCTCCAGTAGGAGGAGTTCATCAGGTTTTTGTTATAAGACAGATGATAAAACTAAGATGCATTATTTTAGGAAATTAGACAGGGAATTAGAGGGGAGAAGGGAACCGTTTAAAAGATACGGCTCAGGTCAATACAGATATTATGCATCTCCAGCAGGGTCTGACTATTCTGGCAAGTCAGTGGGAAAATACAAATCGTATTCTAGCACTTATYTACGTGACAGCAATAAAAGTTATGATAATAATAAACATCTATTAAGTCACCATAAAGATGAAAGGAGAGGGTATGGATATAGAGAAAGAAGTGATGAGGAGACTGAGGAGGCTGAGGAGACTAAGGAGACTAGTAGCACAACAAAGGAAGTGGACGAGGAAGCTACTCTAAATAGTCAAGAACAATCAGAAAGTGGCATTAAAAGAAACCTGCCCCAGAACTTAGTTAAAATATTCAATCAAATTGCTGAATTTGAGAGGGAAAAAGGAAGTAAGCAGAAGAACCAGTAAAATACCTAGAAAATGGTATTATGCTGGATTAAATACATTTTTTCAGGTATGTGTTAAGAAAAATATATCCCCTTTAAATGCATATGAAAAGTGATAATAAAGCAGAATCTGTTCTGTTGTGCAGAATGTGTGGCAAATATTCTTTAAGGTAAAGAGGTTGTATGGAGGAAAAAGAGATGCAGGGATGTCTCAAATAATAATTCTAATTTAAATCAAAGTTACTTGTATTCTTGGGATGTTCCTGTTCAATATTCTTAGTATGACTGGGTGAAATTTTAATCTTTTGATGCCCTTAAGCTGTAGTTAGTTGTGTGACTCGCATCATATATGCACTTTAATGACAGGTGGTTTTTCTTCTTCCTTAGGGGTACTATTGACTGTTAACTATTTTTGTATTAAACCTAACCTCCAGCTCTACCAAGAGGATAACTAAATGGAGCTGTTGTGCCATCAATGTATATAGCTTACTTGATCATTAAATCGTACTAGTTTTGTGTCTTAGTTTTTGTTTTGAAGTCACTGGTGTGTTTGCTGCTGCTGAATGGGTACACTRGTTATTTACATACTGCTTATGCTACCTTCTAGAGAGGGATTCTGGAGCATTTCTACTTTAGGTAAGTTCAACCTGCCAGTGTCTGTGAACAGACAGATGTATTACGTATTATTAAATGCGTCAAATACACTCTTTAGGTAATGTATATAACTTTAGGTAAAGTGTATAAACATGGAGGGTCTTCTCAAACAGTGCTTTTTCTCCTGAAGCATTSAAGTGTGGGCTTTTTTTCTTTAGGGATTTGTGTTGCAGTAGCTTAAAGGCAGTGGTTGCTGTAAAAGAAGTTTTCCCGAGTTAGAATGAACTCTTCAAGTAATTGCTAACATAGAACCTTTTTGGCAATAGGCTGTATATAATTTGGATAGGAAAAGTATAATTCTGACTTTAATCCTTTGTTATCAAAAGATATTGTGGGAAAACAAAACAAAAAAAACCCTGGACACTTAAAAATGATGATACTGTGTAATTTATTGCAAGCTTTAGTAAGAAGGTGAAACATATTTCTGGAAGAAATTGGCACTAAGATTCTAATTGCTATTAAATCTTGCTAAAAAATTAAGGTGTAGCTTAACCAGTTTAGAAGCCTTGACTAGTATAAGGCCTTTATTATGGCTTTGAAAAGGTATTTAAGACTTTTTTCTAGGCAGTTGTGAACCACTGGCAGCTTCTCCTGCTGAAGCATTGACTGAAAAACTCAGGTCTATGATTTTAAGTGCTGAAGCCTGACTAGAAGCTGAACTTGTGCTTCTGGAGGATCTGAAAGACAAAAGCTTGTTATTCAGAATATTGAATGCACCTGCCTGTAAAGCAGAGCTTCTCCTAAGTGTTATTTACCATGAAGCTACTTGGCAAGACTGTTTAGATAAATGACAGATTTCTATAGTAGGCCTATGAGAATCTTGTTAGATCATAATTGATTCAATGTGCTAAAAGCAATATTGTAAGGATGGACTTTGAATATGGGAAAGGTTTCTTATTCTAGGTACATACTTTGAGCAGTTATCAAGAAAAGCTTACATATGAAGCACTTACCTGCTAGAGGCCAGAGAGCTTCGTGATGATGGTGAACTAGAACTGTGACTACCACCAGCAGAAGAAATTGTAGAAAGTTCTAAATTGGACTAGAAAATTGAAACAAACAAACAAAGCACTCTGACTTTAGGATTGTGTAATAGAATATCACAAAAATATACAATTTTCCTTTGTATTTTAAGATGTTAAAAGCAGATTCTTTTTCTTCTTTTATCATAAATATACTTTATGACACAATTGAGTTTGAAAGGCACTCATCAGTAGATCTGAACTGTAAATCAACATTTTAGCAGCAGTCAACTAGAGAACTCACCTGGTGAAAGTACATTTGAAAGGCTGTAGCTAAATCAGGGTTTGCTTCTAGAATATCAGCTAACAGCTTGTCGATGGTTCTGTTGAAGTCTTTCAGTTCACGAAGATCAATGTCTTTTTCTTCTTGTGTTTCTGTTTTAGTTTTCTTTAGAGACTGAATTTCTCTGGATAGTCTGGAACACTTTTAACAAATATTGTAAAATGTGCTGTTGCAAAGAAGTTTTTCTTCAGAAACCTCCTAATTATACATTCCGATTTTAACCATACTGCTATCACAGTACATTTAGAGTTTGTCATTAATGATATACCAACCTGTTTTCTCACCCTTTCTAACTTTGGCTTCTGTTCTTCTATGTCTTTATTCAGCTGCAAAACAATAGCTTGTTTTTCCTTTATTTCTTCTTGGTAAAGGGCTTCCTGCTTCAGTATCACAGCAAGACCTTTTTCCATGCTCTACAAATTCATATCAAATGGTTTTAATTTATAAAACTGTTCTGATACCCCTTCAGATTTTATATCACTTTGTGGTAGGATCTTTTGCTGCTGCTACTTGCTTTAAAATGTACCTCATGCAGTTAGTATTAATAATTATGCAACTTAGATTATTTAATATATAAATAGCCAGGTAGAGAGACCACGTCTATTAAAAACTTGCCTTTCAGAGTAGTGACAATGAAGTTAGAGGTGTACGTGTTCAGAAGTGCCTGTGTGCTGGATCAGCAAGGGATATACATGGTAAAATCCTGAATATTTTGCTGCTTAACTGACGAGAGCAAGCTGTCCTTCTAAAAATAACATRTACGTTATTTATTGCCATCTCCTGTGGGAACTGATGTATAGYTTAAACTTAAGTGAATAAAATGATCTCCATTAAAAAAAGCACTTCCTAAAACCTTGTAACTTCCTAGAATTTGGTCCCTGATGGAAATGTGTGCTTGTTCCTTAGTCTCAGATGTAAATTTTTTTTTCTTGAATAAGATGCATGTCCTGTGTTTAGAACAGGCAATAGGAATGTTTGCTTACCTTTATGAAATAATGAACAATGACCTCTGGTACATAACAAGGTGCCTTTTGATTACTTCAGCCTAAGGAAATTTTAAGTAAAATGTCCCACCTTGGAGATTAACACTGCTTGCTCTCAGGGCTCTGTATGTGTATTAATGGCAAAAAGAGCCAAGAGTAAAAACTARATGTGGGGACTGAATGCAGATGATGCTTTCCTTTCATTAGTGCTCAAACCATTAACTCAGCTATCTTTCTGTGGCTAAACTAACAAACACTATTTGCAGCAGCTGCAGCACCTTTAACGTGCAAAACAGAAAATAACATCCTAGAAAATCAAGGGGACATATCTGGGACATGTGAGTTTTAATCCTGCAATGCTAGACATTATACTATACAGGATTACAACTACCTCCTTTCTTGTTGTTAAATGTGTATGTGGAAGTTTAAAACACCTTTGTGGCTAGATGCCAGGACACAGGAGAGTTTTCCCCATGTGCCTGTGGAATTTTTAGCTTTAGAATTGTATGTGACTAAAAAGCCTGAAGGTGCAGTATGACTCAAGGAGTCACAAGCCCTCAAATCGCTTTGACAGTAGATAGAGCCTTCTAAAAACTGCATCCACTGCTGCAAAGTACAGAATGTAAAAAGAATGGGGGAAAGATTGGTCGCAGAATTTCCTGTTCTTTCCATGAGATGGTTGATGTGAGTTAAGGGATATTTTGTATTTATAKCCTTGTCTGTTCAGCAGGAACTCCTGCTTGTACTTTACCTGGAGATTTTCCTGAAGTTCTTTGATCTGCTTTCGTTTGTATCTGTACTTTTCATCAGCAGCTCTTTTTTCCTCTTCTAGGTTCAGTTTTTCCTTAAACTCCTCACCTGTTATTCCAAACAATAACTCAGTATAAAAGCTAAACAAACAATGTGTACAACCTAGCTCAAGTTTAAGATGTTCCATCTTCATTTTAAAGTAAGCTACGTTTTAACTGTATCAAAAAGTACTAATCTGCATCATTTATGGATAGACCAAGGATTCAATTGATTAAAATAAGTATAATGCTCATACTGTATTATAAGCTGTGTAAATAAAATGTTAAAAAAAAAAGGAAGGCATTTTTGAAAGAAATCATGGTTTCAAATAAATCCACAGAATAACATAATTTGATGTAAAATAGTAATGGCTACTACTCCCTTTCTATCTGCTACAGATATATCAAGGTGTAGGACTTTTTTTTTTTTTTTTCTTAACTGTATCACTTGTCCCAAATGACTATGAAAAAGTAAGAGGCTTCATGAAAGATTATGATTTAAGAGCCGCTGCTTCCAGAGCCAGCAGAGGGCACAGAAGTTAAATAATCAAACTTTTTGGTAAAGTTTATTTAATTGCTTGTGCTGACTCTTTTCTGTAAGGCCAAAGACTGTTCCAGTGGAGAGCAAGTACATAAACATTTTAAAAAAATGCTCAAGATATTTTGGAGAATTCTGAGAAAATCTCAGCCCTTTTATTTGGCTTTTTGGTATTTTAAAAATTGCTGCCACTGCATTTTACTCTTAAATAAAACTTCATTTTTCCCTGATGATACCTAGTTGCTTTCTCTCTCCTTCCTATATAAAAGTCGGACAGCGATAGTGTAGCTAAGGGGTTTGCTTCATCTCTGAAGTGCTTATATGTGGGCTGGCTGTAACTGAGCTGCCACGGGCAGGGGTATCATTGCTCCAAGGACAGTTTTGTGTCGAAGGCAGCTCCAGCTGCCACCTGAGTTAGCAGATATGTGTGGTGGAGCCCTGCAGAGAAGGAAGAGCTTTTTGCACAGAGTACCATGCGCCTGCTTTTCCTGTTAGAGCTATGCGCTTAGCTGGGCAGTCTTTCTCCCAGCACCAATTTCTTTCTTTTTTTTCTTTTTTTTTTTTTTTTTCCTTCCAGTAATGCTATATAACTTGGATGCTTTCCCTCCTCCTTACTTAGGACTTTTTACAATATTTACACATGCTTAGAGATGTTTACATTAATCAGATGATAGAATATGAACGTTAGTTCTGTCTTGCTGACCCTTTTTCTATGCTTAGTTATTCTACTCTGCCTTGCTGAATGAGCCATAGCAGTGTGCAAAATACACTCCCTTTTGCTACTGTCAGTTTAGTCTCTGCCTGATTCATTCCCCTCATTGAATTTCCCCAATCTATACCAGTTTTATACCATCATCCATAGGTTGCACATAAAATACCAGTTTCCATTTTACATTTTACATACTTGTCTCAGTAACTTCCTTGAAAGAATTTCGGTAATTGCTGTTGCAGTTATTAAGTACACGCAGAGTGTTTTCCAGAGCTACAATTTCTTTTTCAGCTTTGCAGATCTTTGCATCTAAATGATCACCTTCACGCTGAAGTGTTTCCTTTTCCTGTGCAGCCTGAAAGGAAAACTGGTATTTCAGGTGACTGAAATGGTTGATAAAAACATTAAGTTAATTATAAGGGGGAAAAAAATACCAGCAATATTTAGGAGTTAAAATCCTGGGTAGATATGGGGGCTTATCCATGTGGTCACTCTGAGATTTTGTATACTAGGTAACTGGAAAGAGTAGTTATTTACAGTAACTGAAGCTATTTAAGTTTTCATGTGCATTTTGTTATAACCAAGCATCTGCCTTGATGTCGACCAAAGCTTAAAAAGTCCTGATTAGCAGGACCCACAGGATGTACGAAACACAGTTCTCTGTTTTGTCCTGCTGTGAGGGCTGAACCCTCTGAGTTTCCTTTAATTGCAAAATTCAGGTAAGAGTTGAGTTAGTGCATTACATAATTCCACCAAGAAAGTGTTAAAAGCCATTCATTTTTTCTGTAAAGTATCCACTGAAAGCTTTGCTACTCTGATCCATAAGACTGGTGAGAAACCCAGCCAGTTGGAGAAGGGGGAAGTATTTTCTGTAGCCCTTGTAGTTCCTGCCTTGTGGTTAGCTGCCGCCCCACGAGAGGGACGAGGGCTGCGGTGCTGTGCASAGGCAGCCAGGGGAGCTGGAGGAGAGAGCCAAGCCATGACCCTGAGGCTTCCCTACAGCTGCACATCACCTGCCAGAGGCAGCCAGTGACAAGCTACAGGGAAAGGGTGAGACGCTGGAATGTGAATAGTAGCAGAGCACCTCTGAGAACTCTTAAATAACCATCCTTCACCTTGAAGGAATCATCCTTATGTTTACCCACTGGAATGCAGAGGGATGAGATTCTATCATCTTGTCAAGGAAAGCGACGATCGAAGACTCTTCTGCAAGCTTTTCAGGGGTAATGTGGTGTCTGGTAAGCTGAATACCATGTAAAGTGGCTACACTGAGGATATCAGTGATGCAGCCAGTCTTGCTTTGGAAGATAATGCATACAGTAAAGTGGGCTTTTATTTCCTGGCGAAGGTAACTGATTTAGCTTATAACTTCTAAGTGGACTTGAACAATTACCTTTTGATGTTATGCACTTTTCATCTTCTTAGCTATACAGTTGGGGATTAGCAAACAGGTTTCCTTCTTTCAAAGTAAAACGCAAATGCTCTTTTAATGTCAATAGTACAAAAAGGTGTCATAGTTCCAGATGAATGAGATTTTGGAAGAAATAATGGAATGTGGATGTTCATTTAGATGGAATTCCTGTAGCATGCTGAGTAGCAACTTAGAATAGTTGTCCTGTAGGAAGACCTGGCCAGATGAAACACGGTACTGGGAAAGCTTCCTTCAAAGGTTCTTCTGCTGCTCAGAAATGTAATATTGTAGCAGCACCTCACCATTGTTGGGGGTACACGCACAGGGACCATAGGGCTATATTGAGGGTCTGTTGTTGATTTAATTTAGAAGCAAATCAGACAACTTGTGGATATTCTAGAATCAGCTCTTGTATTGTGGATATAGTTTTTTGTGAAAGGTGRAAGTGTGCAAAGATGAAGAGTAAGTTAGTGTGAGCATGAAAAAGTGATATGGTAAAATAAATACCTCAAAATAACATTCCCTGAAGGCTAAAAGAAATTAAGATTGTATCAAACACRGTGATAAACTGATTTTCACACATGGATGGATTACCAGTGAGCTAGTAGTATTTTGTGTGACTACATAAAAAATTAATGAGTACTGCAGTAAGATTTTCAAACTGCACCAAATTAGAACTCTGCTTATAACAGGACTGACCACAGCAATTAATTTGAAATCCCTGTRCTATTTAAATAAACAACAATGTCAGATAACATAAAACAATAAGACTGAAAGCAAATAGTAGATAAGAGCTTGTCTTAGTTACTGCAGTGGAGCCCAGGGAAATCTATAGCTTAATACTCTACTACTTCTGCCATAAATTATAAAGCTAATACAATACCTTAATTACATAGTAGGCCTGAGTTTTCTCCTCTTCTCCTTCAGGTGGCATCATGACAACAGTAAGAATTTCATACCTGCTTCGCAGTTTATCGATTTTGTTCAGGCGGTCTTGGAGTTCAGCACTAATTTATTTTAAGGAAGAATAAATGGGTGGAGAAAGTCTTGTATTATATTGCAGGCCCTTTTTGCTATAGCAGTTTAAATTACTCGTTAAATTACCCGAGCGTTCTGTCTATGTATTAGAAGGTAGGTATGGCAGTAGTTGACTTGATACTGGCTTTTGTTGCTCCCTTAGCCACAGTCCTTTTTTTGTTTGTTTTCCTCTCTTTCTGGCTGTCCACAGTTCTTTTTCATTTCTAAAATGAGTCAAATTTACTGTCATATTCCAGATCACTGCATCATGGGAGGCTGTGTCACAGCTCTCAGAAAATATTTAAAGGTTTGGCATTTTAATCCTACAGCTGCACAAACTGCCCCCTGCTGATACTACTTTAATATTGCCACTGCTGGATGAGTGTAAGCAACAGCAGGCAACAACCCCAAATCAAATTACATGGAAGTACCAATTAGGTGTGTAATTATCAGAGGGGAGGAAAAAAAAAAAGAAAAAAAGTCTGCACACTCAGTGAGCAGTTAAGCTTTAGTAACACTAAATCACTCTAATTTCCTATTGTGTGGGGTGTGGTTAGCGAGGAGTGAATAAAAAGCCTGCCCCATTTCAGCAACTCAGCAGCTGAATGTTTGGATTTTGGCTGGATTTAACCACTAACAATAGTGGGAGTGCAGAGCTGAAGATTAATGGATGTGTTGTGTATTACAGAAARGAAAAGTTTCTTTAAGGGTGGCTGCTTTATACAGTGTTTTTTATATCATAATAGGTAGGCAAAAGTGAGACAAGTATGTGCTGTAGGAGGCTTAAGAATTTTGTCATACAGGACAGATAGTGAAGAACTTGTCTATTAAGGGGAAAAAAAATCTTACAGGTGAGCCAAACTCACAGTTTTACCAAGTACTTTTGAATAAATCCTCTTCAAAAGTAACTTTTTAAAGTAGCTTGTCAGAGCCCTAATTCCTTTAAGTTCCTCTTTATTTTGAAAAGTGCACGATGGCACGTGTAAGCTTTAATTTACAAAGCTTTTGTCTGACATTGTAAAGTTAAAGTAGCAGCACATGCAGCTGAAGTTTCCCTTCAATGCTAGAGAGCATCTTTACTAGCAGGTTAAACAGTAAACTCTTGTACACCCCTGACACTGGACAGCAGGGACTGAGATATTGTGCAAGGCTGAAAGCCAAGCCTTGTTTCTTGTTTTCCAAGAAAGGCTAGCCAAAACAATATGCTTCTTCAGTGTATGATTTTGAGCAAGATTTACTTCATTCTCAGTTTCTCCATTGGTGGAAGAGAATCAAATGCTTATTCCTCTGCGAGGAAGTTCCCATGTTAGAGGTAGAAATTTTTAATATAAGTTTCAGTTGACTTCAGTTGAAACTTTAATGGCCCAAAAATGTTAAATGTAATAAAAACAATTTAAGAATAGGGAAAAATACAAGGTACCATTTTATTATGCAGAAGATATAAAAAAAAAAAAAAAAAAAAAAAAAAAAAAAAAAAAAGCACCTGGAGACTGATTACCTAGGAACCTAGGAGTTTTAGGGAAAGATCTTTTGGGAACATATGTTTTAAGTTGTATTGTGGTTCTTAAGTTGCTATGAATGAGATACCTTACACGTTGACGTTCCTGATCCACAAGTTTTATCTGAGAATCCATCATTGCCTTGTGAATCTTAATTTCTTCCGTTCTTTCTGCTATTGCTGTCTTTAACTTCAGTTTTTCTTTTTCCAGTGTGAGAACTTTCTCTGCCTTATTAGACAGAGTATCTTGAAGACGTTTCAGTTCTAGTTTTAAGAGATTTTCTTCAACCATCATCTCCTAACAAATGTCAAAAAAAAGCTCGGAATAAGAAAGTTTCCTTTTATTTAGATATTTATAAATCAGTTAAAATACAAAGCATCCATTTTTGTGCCCTCTGTATATACCTCTGTAGGACTCATTCTGCTCTGCATTTAAGAATGTTCTTAATTTCTCCTTTGCTAACAGTTTACATGGYGAGTGCTGTATGGTTAAGTTGCTTCCTGAATGGCTTTCTAGAAATTCTTTGGAAGCAGTAGTTGAGACTGAGCAATGGAGTCACTAGGCATTTTCACGTGCAACTTTCTTTTAATTTGGTATTATGAAGTGAGAGATAATAAAGATTTTTAAAGCAAAGAAGCAGATCTTGCAAGGAACGATCTCAAGCTGTTACATGTTTTTTGAARCAGTACAGCTCTCTTGGAAAATATTCTAGGTTCTGTATGTCTGTAAATTATGATGTATTATGAGCAACTTCATGTATATTGAAGCACATGAAATGCAGTCATTTATGAATCTCGCTAGCACATGAGCACTTTGAAGCATGAAAACCAGAAAATCTCCTCTTACGTAGCCCAATTATTTTCATACTCTGATTTTTCTCATGCTATCGCCTTCCTTCCTATGTTCACCTGAATTTCACCCCCTAAAAAAATCTTCCACGTTAGGGAGAAATGGCTGTGGGGAGCAAGTGTAGCAAGTTGCAGCAGGGCTGATGGATCAAACTGTCTCCTGAAAAATCTCAAAATTYAATAAGAAAATGATTAGCATCACAGATTGAGAATGAAAATCTAATCCTGGGAGAAGACATGCTGGCTAGAAGAAGAAACATTTAAGTCAATGTGAGCTGTTTAATGCGCCTGTTAACATAATAGCTATGAAAGTGACCCAAATCCAAGTTTGCAAAGGAAGGTGCGAGCTATAAACTAGTAGGGTTCCTTGTGTTGCTCTGCAGGAGACTGACAACAGCCTTGACACGTTGTCCATTCCAAAAAAAAAAAAAAAAAAAAAAAAAAGGAAATTTGGAAAATAATACTGTACCTGCTTGGTAGCTTTAGCTTTTTTTAACTCCTGATCTGATTTCTCATTGTAAAGATTTAGTTCATTGATCTTGATCATCACATCATTTGTTTCTTCTCCTGTCTTATCCATTGCTCTCTTGATGAATTGGAGATCATTCTGTTTCCAAATAAGTTACATTTAATTCATTTCATTGAGTACAAGTTGTACCAAAATTAGGTAATTTTAAATGAAATATTTAAAAATCCTGGTACCAAGGACTCTCATCATCTTGTATCCATGTGCTACTGGGTGAATCTTTCAGCCAATAATTCTAATGTTATATTTTTTGGTCTTGGTTTAAAAAAAGAAAAAAAACAGGGCTTTGATATGTCAGACTCTGGCTTATAGGTTATTAATTCATCTTCATAAAACCATCTGAATTTGGTATGACTCAAGAGTATTAATAAATACTGTCCCTCCAATTTAGTAGTATTTAGTAATGTTACCTTGTAAAACTAAATGCAGATGTACCAATTTTTTGAAAAATACACAAAAACAAAGAGTACTGTCAAAGAATAACAATCTGTAGCTTTCAGACTATCATTCTAATAATAAATTCAGACATTTACAAGCAGTCGATCATGTTTTGAAATGGAAATTAAGCTTGTGTTCCCAACATTTCAACTGTTGTCTTTGTGCTAATACATCTTAGGAATGCATCTTAGGAATTATGAACTTCCTGGAAGGTACAGGGAAAATATGAGATACRAAGTTGGCTTACATATATTTAAAACCAGTACCAAATTATTAATAAGAAATTTACTTAATTCACTTAATTCCATTGCAGGAAAAAGACTGATGCTCTAGGAAGTTACCTGAAGTTTCTTGTGTTGTCCATGTAAAATATTATATGTATTTTTCTTTTCTTCTAAGGTTTTCTTAAGTTCAGCCACTTTTGCTTCCAGAACTTGCTTTTCATCCACATTAACCTCCCCTTCTAACCGTGACAGCCGTCTCTCAACTTGCTGAATATAAAAATCCTGTTGAAATAATTTAAAAGAATAAATTAGAGTCTAAGATAAGCAATTTCAGCCTTCCATTAAGCTAACATGAGATACAGACTTGGAACTWGATGTTGGCTTTAGGACAATCATCTAATTAAACTAGTGTTTTATAATAATCTGTGGCTTTTAAACTTCATTAATGTCAAACATAGCAAAAATGTTCTTAGATGACTGATGTGCAGTGATGGTTCAGAAGTAATCTTGTGTGAATAACAAAGCACACCCAGCAAAGTCTGCTGTAGGGAGGCTTACAGTGGAGTTGCCATGTTGGTCTTACTAGCAGATGTTGATAGAAAAGGGCAGATTTTCAAAGTGGTGCATAGGAAATATGCACAAAATCCAATTAGTAAATAACAGGATTTTGGCATGTACCTCTTGTATCTCTTTAAAAATTTACCCTGAGGTGTCTGTGGTTCAGAGGGATCAAAGTAAAGAATTGATTTGAGAAATTAGTGCAGAAGGGAAAGATCCAAAAATAATGAAATGTACAAGCACATAACATGGGTGATATAGAGCAACTTTCAGTTATTTCAGCTTTATTCATACATCTAGAGACAGAAATGCAGCCTTCAAATTAACATGGCACAGAATTTCTGAGAGTAATATGTTAATAGGAATAAAAGAACTCAAGCTATTTCATATTATTGTTACTTTGAGGGAATAACAAAGGGAGGGCTTGTTAACATTTTACCTGTTTATACATTATTTCCTGTTGTCTTAATGCGTCTGCATCAAGTTTACGCAGACGACTGTTAAGATTTTTAAGTGCTGTCCGACTTCCCTCGATTTCTGCCACCACACTCTTCTCCTTCTCCTTCTCTTCATTTAACTCCTGGGTTTTCTTGAAATGTAGGTCTTTCAAATGCTTCATTTCTGTTTCTTTTTCCTAATGACAAATTAATGATTAAACAAGGCATTCTAAGAAATTATTTGCCTTCGTTAATCATATATAGGGAGATTTAAAAATGAGCACTAGTAGTAATGTGGAATTTCATAGGTCTTCAAAATACAAGGTTAGACAAATTTTTTTTATAAACTTGGATCATACCTTGCTATTATGTGACTTGTTATGATTCAAGTAATGATATTCTGTCTACCCTTCAAAAACCTTGAGTTGAAGTGGCTAATTGTCATATTAATATCTATATTCGATTCCAATCCATAAATAAGCACWTGTTTAATATAGAAGTTGCAAAGTTCAAATGAATCCTCACTTGCAGAAACTATTTAAAACATTTTACCTTGACAATTTTCTCTTCTTCCTTTAGTATTTCTTCCATTCTYAAAGCTTTCTCCTCTGACGTCAGTGTTTTCTCAGTCACAAGCTTCAGTTTATTGGAAAGACTTGCATTTTGCTCGTTAAGAGAGGCTAATCTAAAACAGTTCCATGATGTATTAAGTTAAACTAAAAGTTGCACATACAACACTGCKAAAACTAAATATCATATCTAGTTGAGCGGTTGCATTAAAAAGTCGCTAAACTTGAATGTATGATAACCAAGGATTTCTTCAGATTTTACATCTGCTTTAAAAACRAGGATTACTTGGAGTATTTAAGTTGCACAGGCCCAGAATCTACGCAGCAAGTAAAACAGACWGAAAATTGAATGCCTTAAAAAAACCATTATTGAAGGTTTTTGTTCCATCAGGGATCTGAATACATCTTACAAACCATGTTTCTAAAGGTCTGTTTCTTACCTGGATAGTTTATTCTGAATTTCCTTTTTCAGATTGGATGCTTGTATCCTTGAAGATTCTAGATCAGAAGTAGTTCTTGCCACAGTGCATTTCAGGGTGTTCAGCTAATAAATTAAATAAGAGTTTGTTTGCTMCATTTTGACTTTAGTACATCTCAGGCTCCTTAAAATTATAAGTTCTGTTTATTGAAAAGTAACAGTTTTCTAAATGAAAAGTGCTGCAAATTCTGTTCTGATTTACATCASCACAGCTCATAGAGTCAGTAACTGGCATTCATAGTTATGAAGGTTACAGGATGAATTATGAAGTAGCTGGAGGCCACAACCCTTGTCCAATAGCATCTCTATGAGTGGAACCAGGCTTTTATAGAGCGTATCCAATTTTAATGTGAGGTTCTTTGTAACCAGGGGTATTCTTATATATCTAATCACCATTGCTAGTCTTAACTTCCTTGAGTATAAATAGGATAGGAATATKGTAATGTAGAAGTAGCTCATTAATCTTCATGGTATCACTTAACAGTGTAATTGCCTTTAAGAGAAACCTTGTAACCTGTTCAAAAGTATATAGCAGGTTTCTCACTGATTCAGAGTGAAAGGGAAGTCTCAGATGCTTTCTGTTCCTCAGTTATATCCCCCAGAGACTCTGGCACCCAACAATGGGACACTATTCTCRAGCACATTACATGGCATTAATTTTTGGAGATCTTTAAGGAGCTCACAGCTTAAGAGAGAAAAATCTGCCAATCCCATGAACCCTGAAGTCTGCATGAAGTGTAGGGTAATGGAGCAGACTGCAGCTTGGGAGCTGCTGGAGGAATCCAGCCTCCAAAGCCATTTTTCCCTGCATTGGAACCTCTGACTGAAGGGGATATTTTTAGTTGTGTAGAATATGGATAATTTAATTAGGATATCAGCTTCTGAACCAGCTACTACAGAGAAGTTATCCAATTTTAGTGTCACAATAGATGCACAGAGATATTTGAGTCACAGAGCCTTGCCAGTGTTACTGTTTTCCCTTTAACAGAAAAGTAATACAAATGTATCCCTTCTTAGCAGACCCTGGAGACTTAAATTACCTATGTGGAAGTTTGTGGGGGTTTTTCCTCTCTTGTTTTTTGTTTCCCCACTAATTTTAACATTACTACAAGGACTATCAAGAGTTACTTTTCAAAGCATAGGGTAACAGTAATTTGGAATCCAGAAGAAATTTCTCTCGTCATCATACAATCCTGCAGGCTACACATGCTGATAGCAAGGCACACCTTCTGAAGTATTGAATGAATAGCATAGAAATCAAGAGAAAATTTACCTATCTTGTACCAATGCAATTGAGAATACAAGGTCATCCCAGTGGCTCTGCTTCTGCTCTTGTTCACTCCCAACAGTGAAGGGATTGGGTTCCTGATTCAGATTYCAATAATTAAAAGCAGATTGCAAGGAAGAGACTTTGGTTTTATGCTATGCTCCTAGTAAGTTTTTATTTCAATATTTCCTCTCTGTAGTTAGAGACTTTTTCAGTCTGTTTCTCTGAACTATTTGGTCATCATTACCTCATCCTGCAGCTGAACTCTGTAAGTCTCCTGGCTTTGATACTCGTTTCGGAGGCTAGTTGCTTCCCGCTCAGCAGAAGAAATGGCCTTTTCATATTCYACATTATTAACAGTTTCATTGATCAAAAAGGAGGTCTTCTCTTTGAGGACAGTCTCTTTTTCTCGCATCTCCTGTTTTATCTCTGTTATTAACTAGCAGAATAAAAACATTTTAGACTTGCTTGTGTTAGTTAAGATGCCTTGTATTAACAGATAGACTACTCTTAAGACTGCCATTTGCATGAGGCGGCCTACTTGTCACATTGTTCAAGTTCAGGAGTGCTGTTACCTCTCTGGATCTGCAGGATCTAGTTAGTTATTTTTATATGATTATTTGTCAAAATTGTGACATAAGTGGTAGTGATGTTTTTTTTTTTTTTTTTAATCACCACCCAAACACAAAATCTCTCCATGTGGTATTTCTGTACTCATGCACTGAGAAACACTCTATCTTATTACTGCTTAGATTAGAGAAAAAGCAGCTCTAAGACTTGCATGCTTTGCATCTTCTGATGGCCCTGAGACTGAAAATCAAATGTTTTATAATATCAAGCACAGCACCATTACTTAGTGAGAGAGACTCCTTTCATAATAAATATAATTAATGTCTATCAACTTCACCAAAACAATGTACTGCCTTTGCATATCTTTCTGTAATACCTGGACTCTGATACAACTTAATACAGAATACAGGAAGTCACCACAAAACCACCACCACACTGTACATCCAAAACTGTTCTACATGGGAGAGTGGCAAATTCCAGCCAATTTTATATRTATGTAGCCAGATATACAGATGAGTCACGACAAAATTTTACCATAGCACAGTGATCAATCTGTTGATCTCTTCTTTGCATCTGTTCGATGGCATTCTCCCACTGCCTGATGACTTCTTGCCTTTCCCGATGAACTCTGCGAAAATCTTCAGCTGTCTTGTCAAGCTCTATCTGTTTAAAAGGAAGGACTGCTATGATTCTTGATTTAAAAATAAAAATTAAAAAAAAAAAAAAAACAATAAATCTTCAAGAACTTTAAGCACAAACCTGAGCTGTTATGGTTTCTGTAAGCTCATTATCAAGAGCTCTGTGTTTCTGATTTGCTTGCATGGTCAGCTTTTCTACTTGGAGCGTTAGTGCCTGAAATGAGATGATATGAAAGGATAATGTATTTAATAATGAATATGTAAGGTCAGACRTTTTTGAAGTTCTGCCACAGCTACAATCCTTATGAAATCTGAACTTGTGCCTGCAGCATCTATTTATACTGCCTCTCATGACTCTAGACAGTTTTACTCAAATAGCCTTTATCAGAAATATTAATAAATTCAATTCAAATAGGAAAATTATGTTGTCTATTCATATCCGGCATCAGTTTTTAAAGCAAACTCCACACTTATTTCGTTGCGAAGTTGTGTTGGTAACTGGTGGCACAGTTTTCTAATGACCATGAGAAATTACTATTACACTTTCTTATCTAGGTAAAAGTAAAACTTAAATTTTATCTAGGAGAATAAGGAAATTAATGCCTTCTAGCCTTGTAAAATTGAATCTCTCTGGCCTTTAAAATGAGCCTGCTAAAGAATTCCGCTGTTGTGCCAAGTGGAAACCATCATATGTTAAACGCGCTGTTTTACAAAATCTTGTCAGTCTTACTTGCCTTGAAAATATAACCAAGTCTTTAGGTGCTAAAAATAGGTCTTTGCTTTTGTTTCTACCAAATTACTGTTGGATCTACTTACTCCTAGTTTCTCCTCATCTCGTTGTGCATACTTCTGAATTGTCATAGCATCATTATCTTTACGATTTGATTCCTTTATCCAACTCTCCAAAACTTCCTCATCACAGTTCAGCTGTTGTCTTAAGTCTTCCAGCTTCTTGGTGGTTTTGCTTATATTATTCTAATAAAATTTGAAATAAATGTCAGATGTCCAATAAATTCTGTGAATATTAACTGAAACGAGCAGTTCAAGCTTCTGTGAGAAYTGAAGTTTACAGTGATCATATTGTCAGAGTTAACATCTGGCATTAACAGTACCTCGCTTGTTAGCCCACCTCCATGGCTTTGAGAGTGATATCTATCTATCTGTCCATATCAATATACATCACACTGAGTTCTTGAACRTGGTAATGTTGTCTAATGCTGAAAGAAATGTCTTTCAACATCTAGTTAGTATTTCCTAAGTCTTGTCCAGTCTGCATAAGGAGTTACTCAATGTCATTCTGTGCATACCATGAAAAGTACATCTAGATCACTTTAAATTTATAGGTTTTACATATAAAACATCTTCTTGACTTCTGCAAGCACGAGTGCAAAAAAGTCATGAAAATTAACTGCAATATAGAAGTTCTCTTAAAAATGTTCAAATCTTACTTCTTGACTGTTTTTCTTTTCTCTTAAGAAAACTATTTCATCTTCCAGTCGTTTAATCTCACTTTTGAGACGTCCACATTCTCTCTCAGCAAGGGCTTTGAAGTGTTGTTCAGTTACAATTTCATTTGCTCTGGCTTTGTAAAGAGACTAGAGAATAATACAATTCAGCATTTTACATTTATAGACCTTTAACTCCAGAAAAAAAAAAAAAAAAAAAAAAAAAAAAAGGCATTTTATATACAACCAATCAGAAATAGCCTGATTTTCATTTAAATATAGAAATTTTTTGAGTAACTTTAGTGTTGAAATTTCGGTCTCTTAACCCRGGAGGGATTTATGTCACATTTGGGAGGCAAATCAAGAGAAGTGATTTTATTGTTTTGAGCTGTGCACCAGGCTGGCCTAGGRCAACATCTCTGTATCATCTAATCTTCCTGAGAAAAGTGATTTGAGAGATCCTTATAACAATTAATCTGTTATTTTACTAGAAGCTTCTCCTACACAGAGAATGGCTCGTGCTGCTTTTTTCCCATGGGATACTGTAATAACTGATGTGGCAGTTCTGGATTCTACCTGACTTGGCAGTTTTGGGAAGTTTAAGCACTCATTCCAGCCCCAAGGGGCTCAGAGTCCAACTGGAGGTCTCTTAACAACTTGAGCMTCTCCTTTCGTTGTCAAGTCCAAAAACCATCTCTTTTTTCTTTTTCTTTTTCCATCACCTGGACTACATCTTTTCATATTATCTATGACAATTTTTCATGGAGATTTGTAAAATGCATCATGAGTGGGCTTTTTCAACGACCAAATATTGTCACCAAGACACATGATTTAACATACGCTTCCTGTGCAAGTCCTAGAGGATGGGCCTGACAAATCTCTAATGCAAGTGCCAAAACACATGGGGACATAAGCCACAGAAGAACCTCGTGTCGCCAGTGCGGCTGCTAAGATGCACGTACTTGATGGGCACTTTACCTGCGTGAAGCTGAACTCCTGCCTCACGTTTTTTAAGTGAGACGTCATCGCTGCTGTGCGCTCTTCCGTGTCAGTCAGCTGGTTCTGCAGGTTTACTTTTTCCTTTTGCATCTTCTGCAGCTGTTTTGAAGACGTTAACAGTTGTTAATTAAGACATTTAGTCACCTGCAGCTACTTAAGGGTATGGGG